CCTTCATATGTAGTTTCACCCGATTAACAATACCATGCTAGTTACATTATGAACCTAGATCTATATTAATTCAATACTTTTCTTTCTTGATAAATTAAGCTAAAAACTCTTTTTTAAGTTAATTTATCATGAAAGAAAAATATTTTAAAATTTAGTAGCCAGACGCGCCTCAGAGGGCACACCCCGACAACTCAGAAGAACGCGAAGAAGACGTTCAGAAGGGGGCGGAGAGTGGACGAACTTCGCGGTGACGTTTTCACTCGAGCTGTTTCGCGTGGCCGGAGCCCGTTCACGGCGGCGGGGAGAGGCAGCAGGACACACACACCAGCAGTCAGTCGTCGATGTGGTTATTTTCACCGAGGAGATGTCTTGTCTACATTGTACAGGGAAGATATTCGCCGAAGCCTTGACGTCACGTGGACTGTACAAGTACGTTCCCGCTGACCGTGGCCACGCACGGTGAAGATGGAGGGATCGATGGCCGCTGGCGTGGTGGATGGCGACCGGTGAGTGATTCCAAACGATCGCCGGCATTCTCTGCCGAGGAGACTCTCCCGCGTCTGGTTTCTGTGCAAACAATGACAATTGGTAAGTAAGGTGGGTTGTGCCTCCACACCAATTGCGCTACTGTAAGTAAGTAAGTACGGTCAATATTTTCACCATCAACACGAGGCTCGTATTGATCGAGCGCAGTACGGCCAACGTTTTCTCCATCAACACTAGCGCGAGCCCGAAGGTTTTGCCGTGCCCCAATCTTTGTGGCAAGTACAGCCCGACTACATGTGACACACCGGAGGACGGACGGGTGGTGGAGTGTTTCACGGTGTTCGATGAGATCGATGATCCACTCGGATAGGATACTGGTGCTGTGTTTCCTTCTTGTGAGCAGTGAACGAAACAAACTTCCTGAGGTTGTTCGGCGTCGCACGACCGAGAGAAGAGAGAGATGGCGAGGAAATGCCCTACCTCTGGCGTATTTGTTACGAAACTCTGTTGCTCTCTCGGGAACATCGGCGCTCTTTCTCTGTGTACGCGATGCGGAGACTCCGTGATGGTCAAGCCAAGACGACATGAAATAATTTGTCCGAGCTGTCTCCCGGTCGGTTTGTTTCTTGTGACATGCATTTCATATATACTTCTATTATCACGTTGTTGATGATTTCCTGAGTCATTTTTTAAAATCATCTCTTTGGGTAGACTACTAGTAGTTGGCCTATGACCACGGAAGGCGTTCGCGTTTGTGAGACCAGTGCATTTGTCGGTACTACCTTCTAAGACAACAACAAGCACGCGGACTTTTCCTTTAGACTACAAGATTTTTGTGTTGTTTTTTCTGCCACTCACAGCGCGCAGTAGCGGCATGATGCACCATGACACTGTGTCACCAGCAAACCATAGGTGCCACACAGTAGTATACTTTGCTGTTGCATAGAGTTGCTGATCAAGATTAAAAAACATACCAGTGTTGAGTACTCGTAGCATACCGCATTATCAAGACGGTAATTACCATCTTTTGCCCGGGTCGTTAATGAAAAAAAAATGAGACATCCTGCGAGAGGCCACTCACATTTTCCCCACTCCCACACCCGCGGCAAGCAAACTCCATCCAGCTCACAATCATCCCCATGAACGCGCCCGCCTCAAGCGCGTACGACTGCCACCCCTCACAGCTCCCCTGGGGTGTGTGTGTTGATGGCCGTCCCGCCCTCTCCGCCCTTGGACGGTTGATGATCCGGGCCAAGGACCACATGTTTCCCCACCGGGCTCACTCTGCCTCTGATTTTTTTACCCATGTAGAAAGGTCCTCCATCGGGCGCGCACTGCTGTAGATGGACTACCAGCGCCCAATACCCTTTAGCACCGCAGCACAAGCAGCAATCGATCTCCGCTCTCCTCCGGCGTGCCCGGGCCCGATCCTACCCGGCGCGGCGGGGGCGAAGATGCAGGCCTCGGCACAGCACCTGGAAGCTATCACAGCCGGCGGGGGGTTGATGAGGTGAGCCAAAAAAAGATACCAGCCTCAGAGCTCTCAGAATTGTGTGTGATTTCTCACCAGCGTTGAAAATATGACTGCGAAGAAGGAGGACATCGCGTTGTTGCCGACTTGCTGTCCTTTCTTTGATGGGGGAGGGTGTGCGTCGGGCGCGCGGCGAGGGCACAGACTCATCCGCTCTCAAGATCTCGAGAGAGAACGAGATGAGCCAGGCAGAGAAAAAGTCGCTCCATCGGCAAAAAAAACATCCGCGGCTGTGTAGCGGATGATGTTCTGCATCATCATCCGCTGTAGAATATAGAAAGAGCAGGACGGGATTCTTTGGCCACTGCTGTGCACCGTTTAGTCATCGGCCTTGTCATCGTTGCGGTGAAATATGGCGGCCGTTTATAGATAGAACGGAAGGTGCTCCACGAAGCGGACCTACACAAAGCACAAAGCACACACACAGCAGTAGCAGCTATTGCTGCCACCCTTCTTTGTGTGACTGCTGTTGAACCAATTGAACCTCCGCCGATCTGGTCTGCCAGCCCCCACGTATGCATTCAATATTCCGCCGTGATGCTGTCCGTGGGCAGGAGCATCATGCCTGTGTTCTTCTCTCTCGACCAATTCCACCGAACCGGGGTCGATATCAGGCTCTCACACCGAACTCCACGCCCTGCTTTGCTGCCCGATTCTCCTTTTCTGCAGCCTTCATCTCCACACCTCCTCGCGGACGATCCAGGCAACAGCAATTAGCAAGTCATTCCCCCCTGGTGACTGACTGACGACATGGGTCATGAAAAAGACGAGGACACACACAGCCCGCCGTTCCTTGTGGTAAGCGACCAGCCGCGTCTCTAGAAGCTCCACAGCAGGCCACGCTTATTTAGTGTGTCCATGGTCCATAGCCGCTCTCAGCCGATGACAGAGTAGAGTGTACTGCAGGGAAGGTGGCAAAAGGGATGCACGGGAGGTGTGGTTGCCGGGAAGGTCGCGGTCTATTCGAGGATCTGGGCTGTTCAGACCACCGCTCGCTGTGCTGTGTGCTGTGAAATCTCTGAGTGTTCTCTCCGCCTTTCAGCAACTGCACTGCTGCTCTGCCAAATCGTGGGGCAACCGTGGATGAGACATGTAGGGTAGGTTTCCTTCTTGGGTCGTATTGCTTATCCATCCATGCTCATCGAAAGGTAAACCACACACCAGGGCTCTTACGAAAGGGCAGAGACGGGACGAGACGCGGACACAATTAATTCCGCCGCACGCCGGTCATCCTCTGCCCACAACACAAGACAGGCAAAGGCCTGGCTGGGTGCTTTATCACCAGCAGTGGGGGGCTCTCGAGACGACCTCCCTTGCCCATGATGTAAGAAGGGCGACTCTGGCGTGATGGGGACTGATGGGGGCGCTTTGAACAAGCTGAAAGAGAGCGAAGAGCACCAAACTGTAATTTTGACGGTACTGCTGTAGTCTAGGTCGTGCGAGCGATCGAAATCTACGAAATCTCCGTTGTTCGCCCGATGATCATGATCTCTCAAAGTCCTTCAACAGCAAGTTCGACGACGCAACTATTTAGTCTGTGTCGTGTCTAGACTCTGTTTCTATGTCATGTACTTCGTCTGCTGTGGTGTGTGTTGCTACACCGGACATGGCATGTCAACTTCGGCAAATGTACAACCTTGCCCTGCGTCTACCGGCTCGGTCGCTGCTGCTGCAGTACGAGGCTGTGCCGTCAGGGTTGGTTGCAGGCGGTTGCTACAGCACCAGTACAGTCTATTGTCTATTGTCGTGGTACAGCGTGGTACAGCACTGCGAGCTGGCCTATCGTCATATCCAGGGCCTGTCTGTGACGGGCGAAACCTGGGGTACAAATGAAGAGAGAGAGAGAAAAGGTGCCCGCAATTAATTGATTGGCCAACTTTTTTAAAGGAAGGTTCCAAAGAAAGGCGAAAATTCCGTGGTCGTCCGATGACGTCACCCACGACGACGAAGCCGCATGTTATCTCTGAGATTCACAATTTTCAATTTTTCAAATTTGCCGTGGATGAGCAATGATGAGGATTGAGTCGATGATGTCGCCAGCCGATGGATTGACATTCTCCGGTC